ATTTGAACGCTTCATGAACAGATAAAGCGAGGCTCTCATTTTTCCTTTTGGTCTTACACCTGGCCGTACAAGAAGGAGGAACTGATGTCCTCTCTCAAAGTGCACATTTCACCCCACCTCAGGTGGCAGCTCCCTCTGCCAAAGTCCCTTCAGTGAAAGACTGCAGCTCAGCGTGGAGAAGGTGCTGGCAGAGCCTCCTAGCATAGCCCCGAGTTCGCATTCAGCACGTTCCCTTCAGAGCTGCCCTGGGCAAGTGAGGACGCCTTTTAACCACCCGTTTGGCCTTGGCTTTCCTTTCCTCTGGGTTCCTGGCCTCTCCTCGGCCTCCCTGCTGTGCTGGTGTTCGTGGGCATGCCCACCCTTCGCAGCAGATCCCTGTCTTATTGGTTTCTCCCTCCCTGCTTAGAACAGACCCTTGCTCAAAGAAGCTCAAAAAATAATTCTGGAATAAATAAATGACCTTGTCTTTGCCCCAGCAGATTTTATTTGAAACATGGATTCAAGGGTTTGAGACACAGAAACGGACATGTGCTAAAGAAATGCAATTTATAGCACCACACATTTCAAAACGATAGCCCCAGGCTTTGGAAACCACAGTTTCCTGTGCAACCCCTGAGGTATCAGGCAGATGAGAGGCCTCCTCACATTTCTTTCTCATGTGTCTCTCTTTTCCACCTGGGTTTTTTCCCTCTCACTCTGTGGCAGGTGGCTTGCTTTCCTTTGGATGGCTGAAATGTGTCTCACCATGGGAAATCAGACTTCCTCTAGCTTCTTTTAGTCTCTCGTGATCCTTGGAGTAGATCCTGTTGTTTTTTTCTTTTTGAATGGGGTACTATAAAGAGATGAAGCTATTTTCCATCTTTACTGAAAGCATTCTGATTTTGGCCCAGTCAATAAAAATGCAATTTCACCTATAGATAATTAAATAGCAAAAGAATGTAAGTTTTGCCCTGGCTGGTGTGGCTCAATGGATTGAGCATCGGCCCATGCACAAAGGATCCTGGGCTCCATTTCCCATTAAGGCAGTGGTTCTCAACCTTTCTAATACCACCCCCCTTTAATACAGTTCCTCATGTGGTGGTGACCCTCAACCATAAAATTATTTTTATTGCTACTTCATAACTATAATTTTGCTACTGTTATGAATTGTTGTAAATATCTTTGTTTTCCGATGGTCTTAGGCAACCCTGCTAGCGGTTCTCAACCTGTGGGTCCATTTTCCAGTAATTCCTACACAGTACCACCAGCCATCTCTTTATATACAGAATTTATTTCAAGCTTTCTTTACAAGGGAGACAGTTTGGTGTTTGAATTCTGATCCTACTGCATAATCTTCCTAAGTATTTTTTTTTCATCTGTAAATTAAGGCTCATAATATATGCACCGAATAGGTCTGCTTTAAAGATTGATGAAATAATGGACATGAAATAGTTCATATAGTATCTAGCTTTGAACAAATGCTCAATAAAAGTTAGCTCTCCTCCTCCTCCTCCTCCTCCTCCTCCTCCTCCTCCTCCTCCTCCTCCTCCTCCTCCTCCTCATGTTGCAGTAAATGTTGTCTCCAGTTGTGAATCTATGCTTAGAAAGCTACATGCCACAAGCTTACTATATGAACATTTTACTGATTGTACTTGTAACTTGCATAATACAATTTATGTATACTGGAAGGAGAATGGATCCATAAAATTTTTTACATTTCTTTGAGAAGATATAGTAAACCTTGGGAGGCATAAAGCTTCCAATAAATCAAAATTTCCAACTTTCTGGACCTGATGAGCAAACTGGCTCAATAGAGAGGAAAACAAACCCAAAGCCCTTTATTATTTATTTGAACCCCCTAACTCTGTTTCCAAGCATTTTCTCCTGAGGGGGGAAAATTGTGGCAAGATTTTCTTTTTTGCTTTGATTTTCCTTAGTTTGCTGCTTAAATGTCAGTAAGTCCCACTAGCTGCAGGTCACCACTGGATTTCAATAGGAAACCCCGATCTGGGACACATCTTTTTCATTTGTATTAGAGTGTGCGCTTGGAGTGGAACCAGGAAATCTTGGAGACCAAACCCTTTTCTTCAAAGCTCTCCCCACTCATTGTTCTTTCTTCATGTCTTTAATGAATTGGTTTGGCTCCCAAGCACACAAGCCAGATTGTGAAGAATGAAAGAAAATTAAGAAAGGAAAAAGCTTAAGTTATTGATTTGGCTCAAGGGAATTTTTCTGAGATCTGACCCAAACCAAAAAGCCACCACCACCAACAAAACCCAAATGATAGCCCATGTGTGGACGTAGGGACATTCTTCAGCTTTTGGATGGGGACCCACCTTACTGAGCAAGTGTCAGTCCATGCCATCATGGGTTTTATACAGGGATCCCAGTTTATCCATGGTGTTTCATCATTTCATGATTTTGGGGCTCTAAAGCCAGTTGCCTGAAGGCTGTCTCCTAAGCCACATTTGGTAAAGGACAAAATGCTCCGGTGTTGATGGAACAAAGAGTCATGTTTGCTAACTACAGACTTGTAGTTACTCCAATTACTCACAGGCCCAATGGAAGCCTCCTAAATCTCCTCTTATCTTTTTAAAAAATATATATTTTATTGATTTTTTACAGAGAGGAAGGGAGAGAGATAGAGAGCTAGAAACGTCAATGAGAGAGAAACATCGACCAGCTACCTCTTGCACACCCCCTACTGGGGATGTGCCCGCAACCAATGAACATGCTCTTGCCCGGAATCAAACCTGCGACCTTTCAGTCCACAGACCGACGCTCTACCATTGAGCCAAATGGCTTTGGCTTCCTCTTATCTTTGATCCAGTTAACAGAGCTGCTGCATTCACTAACTAGTCTTAGATACTAACATGTTATGAATTGTTCACAGACAAACTAATAAAAAAGATGTAAATGTAGTCCCATTTGTTTATTTTCTCTTTAGCTTCCATTGCCCTAGGGGCAGTATCAGTGAAGAAGTTCTTTTGGCATATGTCTGAGATTTTGTTGCCTGTGGATGCTTCCAGTATTTTTATGGTTTCCCATCTGATGTTTAAGTCCTGTATCCATTTTGAGTTTATTTTTGTGTATGGTGTAAGTTGGTGATCTAGTTTCATTCTTTTGCATGTATCTGTCCAATTTTCCCAACACCATTTATTGAAGAGACTGTCTTGATTCCATTGTATATTCGTGCCTCCTTTGTCAAATATTAATTGAGCATAGTGATTTGGGTTGATATCTGGGTTCTCAATTCGATTCCATTGATCTATATGTCTGTTCTTGTGTCAGTACCAGGCTGTTTTGAGAACAGTGGCTTTGAAATACAGCTTGAAGTCTGGTATTGAGATTCCCTCCTACTTTACTCTTCTTTCTCAGGATTGCTGTGGCTATTCGGGGTCTTTTATTGTTCCAAATGAACTTTTGTAGAGTTTTTTCTATGTCAGTGAAATATGCCATTGGTATTTTAATGAGGAGTGCATTGAACCTATAGATTGCTTTAGGAAGTATGGACATTTTGTTGATGTTGATTCTACCAATCCATGAACATGGTATGTTCTTCCATCTGTTTACATATTCCTCTATTTCTTTTTTCAGTGTTGTGTAGTTTTCCACAAATAGGTCCTTTACTTCCTTAGTTGAATTTATTCCTAGGTATCTTAATTTTTTTGGTGTGATGGTAAATGGAATTGCTTTTTTAATCTCTGTTTCTGTAATTTCACTGTTGGTATATAGAAATGCCATGGATTTCTTGGCGTTAATTTTGTATCCTGCTACATTGCCAAATTCATTTATTAAGTCAATTAGTTTTTTAATGGAGTCTTTTGGTTTTTTTTTTTTATGTACCATATCATGTCATCTGCAAATAAGGATAACTTTACTTCTTCTTTTCCAATTTGGATACCTTTTATTTTCTCTTCTTGTCTAATTGCAATGGCTAGTACTTAAAATAAAAAGCTTTTTTACAGCAAAAGAAACCATCAACAAAACAACAAGAAAGCCCACTGTGTGGGAGAACATATTTGCAAATGTTACCACTGATAAAGGTTTAATCTCCAACATCTACAAACAGCTTATACAACTAAATAAATGGTAGATGAATGATCCAATTAAAAAATGGGCAATGGACCTAAATAGAATATTTTCAAAAGAAGACAGAAGGAAGGCCAAAAGGCACATGAAAACATGTTCAAAGTCACTAATTATCCGAGAGATGCAAATCAAAACAACAATGCGGTACCATCTCACACCTGTCAGAATGGCCAACATCAACAAATCAACAAATGACAAGTGTTGGCGAGGTTGCGGAGGAAAAGGAACCCTCGTGCACTGCTGGTGGGAATGCAGACTGGTGCAACCACTGTGGAGAACAGTGTGGAGTTTCCTCAAAAAACTGAAAATGGAACTCCCATTTGACCCAGTAATCCCACTCCTAGGAATATATCCCAAGAAACTAGAAACATCAATTAGAAAGGATATATGCACCCCTATGTTCATAGCAGCACAATCTACAATAGCTAGAATCTAGAAACAGCCTAGGTGCCAGTCAGCAGATGATTGGATCCAAAAACCATGGTACATCTACACAATGGAATACTATGCTGCCATAAAAAGAAGGAATTCTCATCATTTGCAGCAACCTGGATGGAATTGGAGAACATCATGCTGAGTGAAATAAGCCAGTCAATGAAAGAGAAACACCACATGACCTCACTCATTTATGGATAATAAAGAACATTATAAACTGATGAACCAAAAGATAGATATAGAGACAGTAAAGCAACAAGTAGACTGTCAAATTACAGCAGGTAGGGTAGGGAGATCTGGGGGAGATAATAGATCAACTGAAGGACTTGTATACATGCATATAAGTACAACCAATGGACACAAAACTCTGAGGAAGGGGAGTATGTATGGGAGGGGGGGGGCAATGTTAAAATATGTACACAGGTAATAATTGAATAAAAAAATGGGGAAAAAAGATGTAAAAGACTATTCTTCTCTTGCTTATTGGAAGTGGAAGCTGGACAATATTTAATTTATTATGCTATGTGGGAGAAGAGCCCAGATTAAGAGTTGGGTGTTGTCTTAAAGGACCTGGAGTAGAATCAATAGGGGTTTGCCAGTTTCCATTAGAAATATTCAGAAAATTACTTCAGACCCTTTTGGGAAATAATAATACAACCAACTCTAAGACTGACTATCCATTTTCCAGCTATTTGCTATTAAAAAAAGTTTTCTGGTATTTTTCTGTTTACAAAATATATTTTCTCACTTAAAAATGGCAGCACAAAGTGGCATTATTTTAGGGAGGCCCCATCGGTAAGGAGAGTTCATGAGTTTACATATGCTTACATGGATGATTTGGAGGAAAGAGATCTTGGGCCTCTTGCTTCAAGATCCAGGCCTCCATTGCATTTACACCAATTGGAATCAAAGCCTCTTAAAATGGCAGGTGATTTGCATTTCCAGTCAGGAGACACAGGGGCTCAGCTACCTTTCCAAAGGAGTGCAGCATTATGTAAGAATGGCTTTATGGTGCTCAAAAGCCAGCCATGTGAGATTGTGGAGGTGTCCACCTCCAGGACTGGCAAGCACGGCCATGCCACAGTCCACCTGGTTGACACTGACATCTTTACTGAGGATAAATATGGAGATATCTGCCCGAAAACTCATAATATGGATATTCCCATCATAAAAAGGAATGACTTTCAGCTGAGTGGCATCCAGGATGGGTATCTATCATGGCTCTAACACAGTAGGGAGGTGCCAGAGGACCTTAGACCTTGGCAAGGAGACTAAGCAGAAGCATGGAGAGGGGATCCCCACTACAGTGCTTTCTCCCATGACAGAGGAGAAAGCTGTTGCAATCAAGGCCCTGGCAAAATATCTGGCTCCCAGGCTGGTGGTGGGGCAGTAGCGATCCTCCAGCCTGTGAGGCATCTTTCTAGCTTGGCCCAGCTCTGGCCTGGCCTGGCCTTTAGCTGGACTCCTACACAAATTCTTTGATGTTTCATCTTGGTCTTCCCTACCCCCCAAATCTGCTGGGGAGCCCCTGTTTTTCATCCTGCTCCCTTGGCCAGGAGTGAGCGAGCTATGGTCTTGGAGAAGCTACCCTCTCCTTCTCCCCTAGGACTACAACCCTGAAGGGGGAAGGGAGGAAGGTGCTGCTTGTGGATCTAGGCTTGTTTTTTTTCTTCCCCCAATTCAGTCTGGAATCAGAAAACCGTGCATTCTGGCAAATGGTCCTTGTGCTCTCCCCCACCCATCCCTAGTCTTGTCCTTTGCTCCCTCATAGTCCTTTACTCCAAACACTATCCCGTGGGAGCCAGCCTCCTCCCCATGCCTATGTCTCTCCACAAATTTCTTTAACGAGAGAGGAAAGAGGTGGAGAGGGAAGGTGCATGTGGGAGGACCCTGCCCTATGGGCTTCACACTTTGTTAAAATCAAACCTATATTTGCTTCCACTCCACTTTACTTTTATAATTTAAAGTAAGTATTTTTCCTGTTGCATTTTCTTGAATATTTATTTTGGAGGTGGTCTTGTATATAAATACTCTTACATGACTAAACATTTTTTTTTATTGCTTCTTCACACTTGCTTATTTGTCTGGATATAGAATTCTAAGTTCAAAAAGATTTTTCCTTAAAACTGGAAGGCATCAGTCCAATGTCTTCTATCATCCTTGTTGCAGAAGAGAAATTTCATGGTCTGATTCTTTTGTCTCTGGGACTAATCAATTTGTTTTTCTTCTGGAAGTTTTTAATGTTTTGTCTTTGTTTTTGGAACTCAAAATTTTATGCAGAACTGTGGGATCACTTTCTTTCATCCTGATTGGCACTTGCTGACCCTTTCACTTTGAAGAGTTATGTCTGACTCTGGCGCAGGGAAATTTTCTTCTATTTATTTGAATATTTCCTCCCAGTCATTGTTTATGTTCCCTTCTCCTAGGTTTTCTTCTCACATCTTTTCCTCCTCTTTGTCATTTTGGAATGTAGTTTAGGAGATTTCTTCAATATTATTTTACAGTTTGTCTATTAAACAATTTAACTTCCAAGAACTCTTTCTTGTTTTCTGTTTTCTTTGTTCCTATCAGCTTATTCTTGTTTCATGGGTGCCATGTCTTCTTTAATATCCTTTAAGGTATTAATGAGCATAAACAAACAAACAAACAAACAACCCCTTCCCCCACTTGTTTTTGATATTATCTCTTCCATTTGGGTTCTTCCTTTTCCTTTGTGCAATAGGTTTGCCTCAGATTTCTGGTGACTTATGGTTGCTAGCTTGTATTTACGAATAGAAGACTGGATGGATTAGTGTAGTTGCAAAGGTCCTTATCCCTGCCAGGCCCCTCCCTTAAATAGGAAAGCCAGTTTACAGAGAGGTGCGTCTTAGTCCATTCTGGCTGCTATCATAGAATACCATAGACTTACTGGCTTACAAACAACATGCATTTGTTTCTCACATTTTGGAGTCTGGGAAGTCCATGCTTAAGGCATCAGCAGATTCGGTGGCTGGTGAGAGTCTGCTTTTTGGTTCGCAGACGGCTCTCTTCTTGCTGTGTTCTCACATGACAAAAGGAGCAAGGGAGCCTCTTACAAAAAAGCTCTGGCACCATTCATGAGGGCTTCACTCTCATGACCTACATACCTTCCAAGGTCCCTCCAATACATTGGGGATTACGTTTCACATATAAATTTGGGGGAGATATAAACCTTCAGTCTGTAGCACTGTGTGTTGTTAGTCCAGCAATGTGGCCAACCCGCAGCTGCTGCAGTGAGGCAGGCTTTCCAAGGCCTGGTCTGCTGTAGCTTACGTGGAGGTTCAGAACCTCTTCTCTCTTTGATCTGGCACCCAATCCTGGTTTCCTTCCCAGGCGTGTTGCCTACTCCTTTAGTGGGCAGGGAAGGGGGTATGTGGCCCAAGTGGCTTAATTATTATTTAATTATTCTGGTGATGCTCCAGAACTAAGGTGACCAGATAACTTATTTTCCAAACTAGGACACTTCTGAGATTAAAAGGGAACCCTATTATTTCACCAAGACAATAGGCATAAACTGGACTGTCACCTTAGCCCAGAGGTTGGCAAAGTCATTAGTTAACAGAGCCAAATATCAACAGTACAACGATTAAAATTTCTTTTGAGAGCCAAATTTTTTAAACTTAAACTTCTTCTAACGCCACTTCTTCAAAACAGACTCGCCCAGGCCGTGGTATTTTGTGGAAGAGCCACACTCAAGGGGCCAAAGAGTCGCATGTGGCTCGTGAGCCGCAGTTTGCCGACCACGGCACCTTCTCAATCTTTGTATTTATTGACTACATTTTGGAATTTTTCTGGGCTTCATTGGAAAGACCCACTCTTCTAATTTTTTTTGGTTAGAACTGTTCCTATCTCCACCCCCCCCCCCACTTGATCCTTATTTCCATACTATTTTCTAGACTGTCTCTAACATTTATAAAGCTCTACTAAACCCCTCTTATTTTCCAGCATAGTTTTATTTCTATTCCTTAAAAACAACAATACCCATGTTTTCTGTCATGTTAGTGGGACCTGCAAGGAAAAGGAGGTAGAAAGATATACTCCGTTTGCTGTCTTGCACTGGGAGCTCTATCACACCACTTTAAATATGAGCTGTGTCACTATATTGTATATCTGTGTGGTGTATCATTTTACTCCTTTTGGGAACCCAATGCAGTGATAACGGTTGTGCAGCAGTGAGCTTACACCGGTGAATCCCTTGGTGAATTCTTGCCTTTTGTTACTCACTTTCTGGAAGGAAATCACGATGCCTATGAAAGATCGAGCATTAAGTCATTGAACCTCTGAGCAATTCTCAATGGGAGTTGTTTATGGGGATTTCTTTTGAGCTTCCTCTTATTGCAGGATATGAATTACTGCCGAGAAGCACCCACTGTCAGCGCATGAAAGAATGTCAACTCCTGCAAAGACGATTCAGGCCTATCTTAGTCAGGTTAAAGGCTGAAAACTGTAGGGATTTAGAACCAAAGCCTTTACTTTGCAGAGCTCAGTGAAGGGTTGGAAAATCTTCTGCCAGGTTTAGGCATGAAATCTCAGTTCAGAAAGACAAAACTTACTGGAGGCACAGAAGCAAAGATGAAGACTTAATAATAAGAATTTAAAAGCAGAAAGAAGACTTTCTGGCTCTAGTAAGATTTCATGGGACAAGAGCAATGTGGATACTCAGAAGAGGATCCACTCTTCCCTAACACAGAAATTACTTCTTTGGCCACTTTGGGAAAGGGCTAATCTCAGTCCTGGGGGAGGGGGGTTACATGGAGACACTGGCAGGAGCCAAGATTCTGCTGTTTGGAGTGAGTAAAATTAGACGCAAAACTATAAAGTTTTATACTTGGATATGCTTCATATAAATATGAAATAAAAAATTGATCATCATCTAAATGTATATGATCTGAACTAAAGCCAATTAATATGCAAATTAGCATATTCAATTTTTGATTTACAGCTAAAATTAATCTGTAAATTACTTATAGGATGCCAGTGGGCTTCATTGGGAAGAACCACTGCATGCAGAAGAGACCCCTCCCCCACCCTCCTAATATTAATACCCATTGTTTTCCTGTCAGTCAGCAGTTTTACTATATCTGAGTCAAGGTAGGGGTATATAAATATGGAGATATATATATATATATATATATATATATATATATATATATATATATATATATATTTCTTTTAAAGCTCTTAAGTCCCCTCACCCTCTAAAATACTATTTTGGGCTTTGATATTTTTGCACTTTGTTGGGGAATCAGCAAGAAACAATGGATGATGCTTTTACAGCCAGAGTTTGAATTGTTTCTTCCAGGATATGGCCGGTTAAAAGGTTGCCTCCTGACGGGTTCTGGATTTCAGAGTTATATATACATGATAGGAGTCATCAGCTGTGGACATCAATCCAATGTTGTTCTTATCAGCAGTTAGGTGAACTAGACTGAAAAACATGAACAGTCATAGGGAACTGACTTCCTTAGTTAGGTAAGAAGGAAGCCATGTAAGTGAATGTCAGACAAATACTCTTTAAATGGTAGAAACTCAACTGTAACCAAAGACAGAGTGTCATTTGTCAGGAGCATTCCTCAGAGGTGAACTTCATACTTGGAATGTGAGCCACAGGGGCTGTAGAGACATTTAGATTCTCCTTGGACTGTTGGGAAAATGTAGTCAGTTCTTATAACTTATGGTTCCTTGCATATAGGGGATAGGTGTGATGATATGTTCCTTTCTTCCTTCCCCACCTTTTCATCTCCTCCTCTTTCTCATTTTGCTTCATTTTGCTATTTCCAGCTCTGCTTATATTTTCTTTCATCTTCGTCTTTCTTTTCTCACCCCTAATATGTGCTTCTAAGTTACTTTCCACCTCCAGTCTTCTTTATCTCTTGTGTGTACCTACTCTAAATTCAGACTCTTATCCCTATCCCGATACTTTCTATCACCTGTCACTTATCCAGGCAGAGAGTTATAAGATTCAGGTATTCACAGGTGAGATGGTTAAGTCATTAAACCATGAGAATCTAACGTTGACATCTGGTGATTGGTTGGCTGACCTTCTTCCCATAGCTTTCATTGTTCCCTCATTATCCTTTGTCAGTGCTGGACCCGGCAAACATGGAACTTGCTACCCTTACCACAGAAATATGTTCTGCTGTTGTTTCGGGGCACCATCTTTTCCTGCCCTCTACAAATTTTAATTTCTGCACTATCATACTCTTTGGGGTTATTTTCCGTTTATTTTATTATTTGTACCTGTGTTTGCATATGCTTTTAGTTTGCATATGTCCCATGATAGCAGCCACAAAAATCAGGGCACCAGAGAAAAATATAGGAGGACTTTTCTGGAAGATACAGATGATCTAGAATAGGGGTGTCGAACTCAATCAGAGAAGGGGCCAAAATCTAAAATCCAGCCTAAATCGCGGGCCGAATGGTTTACTGAACAGTCATAAACTGTCATTGTGATGGAAACGCAGCGGAGTGCAGTGATGACAGCGCGGTGCGGGCCACATTGCAAGGCCTGGCGGGACGGATTTGGCCCGCGGGCCTTGTGTTTGACACATGTGATCTAGAATGAGGCAGAAGAGGAGTGCTAAGATTGCATTCATGAGGCTTCGTTCATGAACCTCTCCGTGGGCCCCTATGAGTGAGCCAAACAAGGGGCCTGCCCCTCAGGCCAAAGCTATGGAAAGCAAATAGGTCTCTTTTTCAGAAAGGCTGGAAGTGTGTTTCAGTTTGCCATCTGTG